ACGAACAAGTACATCCTGGTACGTATGGTCACATGGGGATACTTTACGGGCTGAAGATGGCTTACCGGTGCGAAAGTGTGCCGGCCTCCCGGAGCATTCACCTGCAGTTGCATGTGGATGGGTTCTCACCATTTAATTCCTCCGGAGAGCCACGCGTCCATGAGCCAAGCCATGTGGACTGCAAGGCCGATGCAACCCACGGAGTTCTCCCTACCGACCTCCAACATTGAGGAATTCATGGAGTTGGAGGGGAAATTACTGGACCCCGAACTCCGTCGAGAATTAGTAAGTCACCTTCTGGGATTTTGCTTTCATGACTTAGACTACTCACATGAACTCAACACCCGCCGGCACGGTATCCGAGGCTGTTCGGTACATGCTGGACAGGGTGATGAACAGAGATGTCTTGCGTCAGCTTAACTTCGCCGGGGCCAACAATGCTATACCATTCAAGAAGACGCATACATTCAGTGCGCTTCAAGGTAACTCAGATAACCTTTTCCACATTACCTTCCTTCACAGAAGTTATCATTAACCGCTTTGGGTGCACGGGCAACGCCGTTGCGAACTGCGTTTGCAAATGGCTACAGATTACCCGGAGCAACATGCACCGACGTACATCTGCAACATCCAGCAGTCAGGATTCCCAGGTAATGTGTACTATTAATGACGTACGTAACCATTTCCTTTACAGGCTTTGGAAGTGATAGATTTGGACAACCAATGCATCCGGGAACCGCGGACAACCATGTAAATATTTCCCTGCATAGTAATATACATTTGTAACACTTTCCATGTGTGCTTCAATTGTTGCCCGGTAATTCCGCGTACAGTATACCATATCACCGTCTCGGCGCGTATTGTGACTATGGGTTCGGACTACTGTGCGACTGGAAGGAAGACAGTGCAGGTCATGCTCTTTTATCAAAAGCCAAGGAAAACTCCGTTCCACATTTTCGTATTTCGCAGTAGCTGAAAACCTACGTTTGTTCCCACATCCATTAAGATGTCTGCCAGCATTGCCAATGGTGTGGGATTGATTGGCTCATCAAAGCGGTATTTGCTCCCTGGTAATTTCGTTACCTAGTCAGACGGGGACAAGGGAATTCCGGCTACAAATCCGCGATGGGTAAGTGGACACCGTACTCTTCAAAGCAGTCTGCTTATGTATTGTTATCATATATTGTGCGCCGCCACTTTGTCTAGTGTTCACTGGGCAGTGCACGGCAAACGTACGACCGTTCCCGGTAGGTTATGAATGGGAACCGTTAAATACTAATAGCTTCATTGCGATTAGTCCGTCGCAACGAGACTGGACCTTAACGTGGTGCGACGGTTTGCGTACCTCATTGACCCATTGAGCTATACTGGGTGATGCCTCCGAGCATCTTGAGAGCTACTCCTACCAGGTTGGTCAACGGTGAGAGGTCAGACAAACTCAGTCTCCTGGTCCTCCAGGTTGGGGGTTTGAAATGGGATGGCGTCCATTTCTGTAAAACTAAATCACTGCCACCCCGCTGCCTTGCGGACAGGCTTTTGAGCCAATGGCTTTGGATGAGGACCCTAATCGTTCTCCTGTCTAGGTCTGGGCGCCCTGGCAGTATCCCAGCCCACATACAACCATGACATTTTCTTCAAACATAAACTTCTTCCTGCATCGGCCGTCGCGCAGATTATCAAGGGTCGCCTTATCTGCTGCATACAGCAGGGCGGATAAGCGAAAGCATGCTACTGCTGGCGCCTCCCTTCTTTCTTTTCCACCTTTTTCTCTTACTCCCATCCCGGCCCCCATTACTAACCTTCCTTCTATAATTCCCAGCTTAATTGACAGCAACCGAAATGCTACTGGAGTAGAACCATCTGCAGCCACCATCCCACAGCACCTATCGGACGCCTATAGGCAAAAGTCCCTTATAAGACCACGCTGTCCCGTTTCCATGGCGACCTTCAACGTCCGCACTCTAAGACAAACAGGTCAGCAGGCTGCACTCGCACGCACCTTGGACACACTGGGTGTTGATGTGTGTTGTGTGTCCGAAACTAGGATTAATGACCCTAACGGGGTTATTGAATTGACTGCACCCGGCTTATCCTCTCGTTATTGGTTGCACGCATCCGGAGACGCCGATGCGGCACTCACCGGTCAAGCTGGTGTAGGTATCATTCTCAGCTCCAAGGCTGAGTTATCGTTGGTTGATTGGATTCCGGTGAACAGTCGTTTATGTGCAGCCCGTTTGACGACATCAGCTAAGGTGAATTCGCGAAGTAAAACAAAACGCTGTTTGTTTGTGATTTCTGCTTATGCTCCCACGGACTGCAGTTCTAATGCAGTCAAGGACACTTTCTATCACGAACTGAACACGCTGCTACGCAGTGCTACTAGTTCAGATATTATAGTACTTGCAGGGGATATGAATTCACAAGTAGGGCGTCTGAGCTCTTCAGAAGCTCAGCTGGGTGGTAAGTATGGACTTAACTCCGAACGGACTGACAACGGCGAGCGTCTGCTGCAACTGTGTGCGGAGCACCAGTTGTTTCTTACTAGCACTGCTTTTAGACACAGTGGGCGCCGAAGTGCCACTTGGCGTCCACCTATAGCTGGTCAGCGATGGACCCAAATTGACCACATAGCCATAAGTTACAGGTGGCGCGGTTCCATTCTGGATTGCCGCTCGTACTGGAGTACCTGTGTCGACTCTGACCATGCCTTGGTGCGCTGTCGTTTCTCCATGAACTTTACCGGAAGGCGCACAAAGCGTCTCCCCCGATTGGCAACGGAGAAATTGTCCCAGCCCTCTGTCAGGCAAGCCTATCAAGAAGCACTGCATAGCGAACTCTCGCTGTCTTGTCCTAATGATACTGAACTTCAGTGGAATAAGATCTCGGCCACTATGCACGACGCAGGAGCATCTGCTTGTGGCACTATCAGTCGTCATCGCACCAGTCACTGGATATCCGAGAGGTCCGTGAACCTTTTGGAAGCTAGAAGACACCTTCCGGCTGGTTCTGAACACAATGTGACCAGACGGACTATTAGGCGTGAACTAAAGCGGGGCCTACGTGCTGACAAGGAAGCCTGGTGGACCAGTCGGGCTCAAGAAATGGAGGAGGCAGGAGCAGTAGGCAATTACCGGAAGCTCTTCCAGCTAATACGCACCACTGGTCCCAGAAAACCAGGCGTCAGTGAGACAATCAGAGACAGCGCGGGTGCGCTGATACACAATAAGGAGCGCCGTATGGCTCGTTGGGCTGAGCACTTTGAACATCAGTTCAGCTGGCCCCCTGCTCCCGGACCTCTTCCTACTCAGGTGATGCACGACGAGCCATGGACGGTTAGTTTAGAGCCTCCATCGGAGGCCGAGGTCCGAAACGCGATCACAGCCCTTAATCGTTTTCGTGCCGCTGGCCCGGATTCCCTACCACCTGCACTATTTAAGGATGGTGGTGAGGTCCTCTGCAAAGCACTGACCTCCCTATTCGAACGTATCTGGAACGAAGAGAGTGTGCCGGCTAATTGGAGCGAATCGATTATAGTGGCAATATACAAGAAGGGCAGTCGCACAGACTGTGCGAACCACAGGGGTATTAGCCTAACGCCAGTTGTGACAAAATTACTGGCCTCGATTATCGTTCGTCGCCTCACTGCAGAACGGGAATCTGGGATTAGGGAAGAGCAGGCCGGTTTTCGCCCAGGACGTGGCTGTATAGACCATATATTTACTTTGCGGCAGGTGCTAGAGCAGCGCCACGCATACCGCAGACCGACAATAGCTGTGTTCCTCGATTTCAAGAGTGCGTTCGATTCGGTCGATCGATCGATTCTGTTCGAATTACTTGCGCGGAAAGGTGTTCCCACGAAATATGTGAACATCCTTCGTGCTCTATACTCGAACACTACAGGCCGCGTCAGGGTCTATGGTGTCCTATCGGATAGTTTTTCGACTACAAGTGGCGTTCGACAGGGTTGCCCGATTTCCCCCTTTTTGTTCAATTTCGTCGTGGATTCTATCATGGAGTGTTCCCTTGCGGAATCTCACGATGTAGGTGTTGAAGTGCTGCCTGGTGAACGGTTAGTTGATCTAGATTATGCGGACGATATCGTCTTGCTTTTCGACAATGTTGAGGCGGCACAATCAACCCTGAATAGCGTATCCAGAGTGGTCCCATTATTTGGTATGCACTTCGCACCTTCAAAGTGCAAAGTGTTGCTGCAGGACCACCAGCCACTTGATGACCCCTTGACGTTTGCTAACGAGGAACTCGAGGTGGTTGATCAATTCACTTATCTTGGCAGCTGCATCAGCAATGATGGGCGCATAGAAACTGACGTGAGCTCACGCATTGCAAAGGCCAGAGCTGCCTTCTTGAACCTGCGTCATCTTTGGCGACAGAAGAGAGTTTCCCTCCGTCTGAAAGGCCGTGTATACAAGGCCACAGTGAGGGCCGTTCTGCTCTATGGTAGTGAAACTTGGCCCCTTCGGTCTGAAGATCTGAGGCGCCTTCAGGTCTTTGATCATCGTTGTTTGCGAAGCATTGCTGGTGTCGGATGGCACCAGCGTGTCCGCAACGATGATGTGCGTAGGCGAGTACTAGGTGGTGATGATCATGCTAGCTCCCTAGAACAACAGATAGCACTGAATAAGTTACGTTGGCTCGGGCACGTGCTACGCATGCCTGGTCACCGCTTACCTAGGAGGGCCTTGTTCAGTCTACCAGGTGTCGGATGGCGCAAGGCTCGAGGTGGACAGAAGTTGACTTGGCAGCGGGAAATGAAGTCACTGACGACCAAACTGGGTGCCGTTGGTCCGTCTCGCCTTCCGGGTTGGAGTCCACGTGACTCACCTTGTGCTTGGCTCGAGACTTTACAGGACATGGCTCGCAACCGACACCAGTGGCGCGTCTGCTGCCGTCTTATAATCGGATTGCCTGTTTAAAGTATGTTTGGTGCTGAGTTATCTGCGGGGTAATGGCTGATTATGACGCTTGGCAGTGAAAGCCGCAAGGAAGCTGTCTCGCCGATGCCGCCTTATCTTTGCACGATAGCCAGCTGTTTGTGACGGTATGTTGTTAACACAAGGTGTAGGCGCCTTGACGCTGAATGTTTGCTTAGGGCATTAAGGTTTTCAGGTAAGTCCCCCTTCTCTCCCTCTTCTTATTCTGTATTTCATAGGTCCTCATGGTTGTATGGCAGCGAAGCATCAGTTCAAATGGCTGATGTGCTGCTGTTGATGATGATGATGATGATGATGATGATGATGATGATGATCATTGCGATTAGTAAGAAGTATTTCGCCTCGGACATAAGGGGAACCTCTTCCTGTAGGGTTGGCGAAAGCATTGAATCTCGTTCCCCATGTTAACATAACCGTTTGGTACAGTAGCCCGTATTTTGCTTTCGTGTAATCCATACGCCAAAACCCGTTATTAGATGCTACGCGAACTCATTTCATTGACTCCTTCGTACGAAAACACGTTCTCGTACTGACTACGCGGAGCCTTCGTCATTACGGAAAGCGGTCACATTCACTGATCAATCCTTCGGTATCCAGAGCGAGAAGCATTCGTTCAGCTTCCCAATTACCAAGAGCAACCCTCATATATACTAAGGGAAATCTTCGCATTTACTAAGAGAACCCTTACTTTCGCTTCTTCATTACCAAGAGCAGCCTTCCCATATACTTAGAAAAATCGTAGCATGGCTTCGTCCATTTTCCTGCATTGCCTTCGTATATACAAAGAAAAACCTTAGTATTGCTTCCTAAG